GATCGGTAGCTATTGTTGTAGGCACACTCGGCAAGCGGATAAAATTGATGCCAAGAAGCCCTGAAATACATGACACAAACACGTAGCATATCCTCCAATATATGAATGGTGCGCTCAGACTGTCCGACCATCTGATGGTGGAATGATGTACTCAACTCAACCCGTGTGCCTAACTCTCACTGCAGTACTCTCCAAAACTGAGATGTGAACTGCGTGCCCCGTTCTGAAATGATGGGGTCACAAATAGGTGTGGATATCTACTCCGCATCTCCCGCTCGATCTCCTAAGTAGCCTCCTCTACTGGCTGAACACTCCACTAGCCGATATATTCTTTGACCTCAACTTTCGAACTTGCCGATCCAGAATGGCCACCCGTTCCACATAATAAGTAAAATCCCCATCTAGTCGAACCGTGCTGAAGTCAAAAACATGAGATGGATCAACTAAATACTTCCGGAGCATGGAAACATGAAACACTGTATGAACACTCCATAGTCTGCGTGGCAATGCAAGCTTATAAGCCACATCTCCCATAATCTCAAGTACCTCAAAGGGGCCAATATACCGACTGCTCAACTTGCCCTTCTTCCCGAACCTCAGAACACCCTTCATGGGTGAAATTCTGATCTATACCTTCTCTCCCTCCATGTAAGCAATATCACGAAACTTTCGATCGGCGTAACACTTCAGTCTAGACTGTGCCATGTAAAGCTTATCCTGAATCATCTTAACCTTTTCCAAAGCATCCTGAACCAAGTCAGTACCCAATAGCCTAGCCTCACCCAGCTCAAACCAACCAACCAAAGACTGACACCGCCTCCCATACAAGGCCTCATACGGAGCCATCTGAATACTCGATTGGTAGCTATTGTTGTAGGAACAATCGGCAAGCATATAAAATTGATCCCAAGAACCCCCGAAATACATGACACAAGCACGTAGCATATCCTCCAATATCTAATTGGTACGCTCGGATTGTCCGTCCATCTGAGGGTGGAATGATGTACTCAACTCAATCCGTGTGCCTAACTCTCATTGCACTGCTCTCCCAAACTGAGATGTAAACTGCGTGCCCCGATTTGAAATGATGGGGTCTCAAATAGGAATGGATATCTGTTCTACTTCTCCCGCTCGGTCTCCCGAGTAGACTCCTCGACTGGCTAACCTCTCCACTGCACCTTTACTGAAGCTATATTCTTTGATCTTAACTTTCGAGCCAGCCGATCCAGAATGGCCACCGGTTCCACATAATAAGTCAAATCCCCATATAGCCGAACCGTGCTGAAGTCCAAAACATGAGATGGATCACCAAAATACTTCCATTGCATAAAAACATGAAACACTGGATGAACACTCCATAGTATGGGCGGCAATGCAAGCTTATAAGCCACCTCTCCAATCCTCTCAAGTACATCAAAGGGGCCAATATACCGAGGGCTCAACTTGCTTCCCGAACCTCATCACACCCTTTATGGGTGAAACTCTGAGCAATACCTTCTCTCTTACCATGTAAGCAACATCACGAACCTTTTGATCGGCGTAACACTTCTGTCTAGACTGTGCCATGTGAAGCCGATCCTGAATCAACTAAACCTTTTCCAAAGCATCCTAAACTAAGTCAATACCCAATAGCCTAGCCTTACACAGCTCAAACCAACAAACTGGAGACTAACACTGCCTCCCATACAAGGCCTCATAAGGAGCCATCTGAATACTAGATTGGTAGCTATTGTTATAGGCACACTCGACAAGCGAATAAAATTGATGCCAAGAATCCTCGAAATACATGACATAAACACGTAGCATATCCTTCAATATATGAATGGTGCGGTCGGACTGTCCATCCATCTGAGGGTGGAATGATGTACTCAACTCACCCCGTGTGCCCAACTCTCACTGCATTGCTCTCCAAAACTGAGATGTGAACTACGTGCCCTGATCTTAAATGATGGGGTCACAAATAGGTATGTATATCTGCTCCGCATATCCCGCTCGGTCTCCCAAGTAGCCTCTTCAACTGGCTGACCTCTCCACTACACCTTTACTGAAGATATATTCTTTGACCTCAACTTTCAAACCTGCAAATCCAGAATGGCCACCGGTTCCACATAATAAGTAAAATCCCCATCTAGCCGAACCGTGCTGAAGTCCAAAACATGAGATGGATCACCGAAATACTTCTGAAGCTTGGAAACATGAATGTCTTGATGAACACTCCATAGTCTGTGTGGCAATGCAAGCTTATAAGCCACATCTCTAATAATCTCAAGTACCTCAAAGGAGCCAATATACGGAGGGCTCAACTTGCTTCCCGAACCTCATAACACCCTTTATGAGTGAAACTCTAAGCAATACCTTCTCTCTTACCATGTAAGCAACATCACAAACCTTCTGATCGGTGTAACACTTCTGTCTAGATTGTGCCATGCGAAGCCGATCCAGAATCAGCTTAACCTTTTCCAAAGCATCCTGAACCAAGTTAGTACCCAATAGCCTAGCCTCACCCAGCTCAAACCTACCAACCGGAGACTGACACCACCTCCCATACAAGGCCTCATACAGAGCCATCTGAATACTCGATTGATAGCTATTGTTGTAGGCACATTCAGCAAGCGGATAAAATTGATCCCAAGAATGCCTGAAATCCATGACACAAGCACATACTACATCCTCCAAAACAAACACATGGCCCTCGGCTTACACAAGCATGTAGTGAGCACGTAGTACTATTACTTGGATTTCTTTTCAAGACTTATCTCCTAATTTCTTTGGTAAAGAGTTTTTATTTTCATTGCAGTTCTGTAGGAAAGCCATTATATGTTGACTTAGCTACACAATATAGTACACGTCCTAGCTATGCCAAGGTGAAGGTGGAGGTGAATTTGTTATCAAATTTCCCTACAAGAATCAAGATAGTGAAGGAGGAGGATAAAATTAGGCCTGAAGAATTTAAGTGGATCAAAATTAGGTATGATTATGTGTGTAAGTATTGTAAGAATAGCAAGAAGCAAGGTCACAAGGAAAGTGAGCGTTGGGTAGCTAATCCAGAGCTCAGGTCGGTGAAAGAGGCAGTGATGGATGATAATAATGGAAAGGAATTGATTAGAACTGCTGCAGCGAGTACTAAATTATTGACTAGTGGTAAGGTTGTAGGGAAACCTATAAATACTACTCCAAGACAATAATGGTTGCAAAAAAGGAAAATAAAGTATCAAAGAGACAAGAGAGGTCATATTATAGAAGAGGCAGTTGGGAAACAGGTGGTTAATGTCAAAGGCAAAGGTAAAGATCAAGTGGTTGCAACAAAGAATTCATTTGATGTGTTACCTGGAGAGTAGGAAAATAACATTGCTATGGTGGTTTTTGAGACACAAGAAGAAAATATAGGGCAAAAGGAGGCTACAACAATTGGGAAAGAAGCTACAAAGTCTACAAATCCTACTAGTTCCGGGTTTCAAATAGCGGCTAAGGAGACAAGACCTAATCCTACTATTACTGGTAATGGGGAGAATATAAATAAGGAGAGAACTATTGACTGGGTTGCTAGAAGGTTTGGGATGAGTAATGAACCTTTGAATGTCACTATAAATAAATCATGTCAGGTTGTACCTTCACAAGCTATTGATGATAGCTCATGGGAAAATGGAACAACTGATGCAGCAAGCAATGGAGGCACATCATGGGGTGAAGAAGTTAAGGAGATGGAGTTAAACAACGTTGCTGATAAGAATGCACACAGCAGTGATCATGCAAAGCAGCCTTGCACAGTCGATTCACAAGCTACAATAAACCATAGGATGCAGGAAACTAGGGTTGAAGCTCTTGATCAAACCATAATGCGGAACACAGCAGAATCAATTGGAGTAGGTGCAGGATCACTTGTAGAAGTTAGAATCAATGAGGGTGCAGGTGAAGAAGCTGCAGGGAAGGAGAAAGGCAATGGAACAGTAAACCATAGTCAATACTGCTATGGGTTTCTCTTCAGCTGCAACTCAAGCGACGGATAGCAATGGTCTAGGACATGTTAACAAGGCTCCTACAATGGTGGTGGATGATACAGTGAAGTCGAACACCAAAATAGCTGATGGCAAGCCTAAGGAATCCAATGGAACAATATTTCTAGTGTCTACTACTACAGTAAACCCTAATCTGGGTTCAGTTTAAGAATTGCAATTCTAGGTGATGTAGGACGCTTTGGGAGTAATGGAACAAGATAAACAGTGGTTGAAGGAGATGACTAGGGTGTCAAATGAGCAGGCCATTGTTCCTAAGGCTTCAGGTGCAATTGAGGCATTGCTAGATGCCTGTGCCTTAGGAACTGGGCAGCCTATGCAGCTTCAAATAAATGTCCCATTGAAGTCACCTAACCAAATACTACATGACATTATCACTCACAATGTGGCACTTATGGATCTTCAGAATGTAGGGGTAGAACAAGGTGAGATTGAAGAAGAGGGAGAAGATGACTCTACTGCACACAATTTGAAGGCAGTTGCTAGAGATGCAGACTTGACTCCAAGAGTTGCTGGCAGAAGTGGTAAGAAGGGCAAGAAGCAAGGCCAAGTTAAATAAGTACCTCAACCGACAAGAATTATGCCCAATATGGCAGTCTCAGTTACTAAATGATGATCAAGGCCTTGATATGGAACATAAGGTTTGTTAAAACTCAACATGCCTTTCAAAGAGTTATCAATATTCATAGGGAACATGGACTCTTTGTGGTTGCTTTGATGGAACCTTTTCAAAACTCAAGACATATTCAAAGATATAGAAGAAGACTTAATATGGCTGCTACTATGTCTAACATTAATAGGAAGATCTTGCTTTTCTTTGATGTTGTAGTAGTGTGGGAAGTAGTGATGGAAACTGAACAGCAGCTGACTATCAAACTGCATCATCAGGATATTGGCTAATACATCATGTGTACTTTTGAATATGCTAAATTTTCCTCACTTGAGAGGCTGGAATTGTGGGAGAATATGTATTATCTAGGAAGTGATATGGAGTTGCCTTGGATTATTGGTGGAGATTTGAATGTTGTGCTACATGAAGATCAGAAGATCGGGGGACTGCCAGTTCACCCTCCTGAATATGAAGACTTTTCTTTTGGTGTGAAATCTTTTGGGCTGTTTGATTTAGGCTACAAAGGTAGTCCATTCACCTGGTGGAATGGTAGACCAAATGTTGAGTGTATCTTTAAGAGGCTGGATAGAGTTTTTTTGAACTTACCATTCCAGAACCTATTCCGTAATTGATGTTAAACATTTCATTAGGACTGGATCAGATCATGCTCCTCTATTAATGAGTTGTGGTGAACAATCTACTTACTTCATCAAGCCTTTTAAGTTCCTGAACTTTTGGACCAAGCATGAAACATTTAAGGAGGTAGCTAGGCAGAACTAGATTGCAAAATTTATTGGACATCCATGTCTCATGTTCAAGCAAAATCTAAAGAGGGTGAAGATTGCTCTATCCGAAAGGAGCAAGGAGACATATGGAGACATATTCAAACAACATGCTATTACGGAATACATTGTGAAGGTGAAGGAGATCCTTTTTGAAGAAGAACCTACAGCTGAGAATAGAATAGTGCTTCAAAAAGCACAAGCTGAATTGAAGAGCTACTTAAGCATTGAAGAGCCATACTGGAAGCAGAAGGCTGGGATGATATGGTTTACTGAAGGAGATAGGAATACCAGATTCTTCCACAATCATGTTAAGGGCAAGAGACAAAAGCTGCAATTGAAAAGAATACAAAAAGGGGATGGAGTCTGGGTTGAAAGCCAAGATGATATGGCCGTTGCTGTTGTGGAATTCTACCAGAGGCAATTCACTAAAGAAGCTGATCCCACTGACTTCACTCTACTAGAAAATAAGCCTGCTATGGTGACAATGGAGCAGAATCTTGAATTATGTAGGTATCCCTACTCTTGAAGAAGTCAAGGATGTTATGTTTGAACTTAGTGGGGAGAGTGTTAGTGGTCCTGATGGATTCACTGGTATTTTCTATCAAGTATATTGGGACATCATTGGTATGGATATTCATAACATGGTACTGCATTGCTTTGGGGGAGCACCACTGCCTAAATCTATTACACATATTAATCTTGTGTTACTTCCAAAAAAGCCAATGGTTGAGACTTTTTCAGATTTAAGGGCCATAAGCTTGAGAAATTACATCAACAAGGTGATGTCTAGAGTCCTACATTATAGGGTGGAGAAGTTATTTCCTTCTTTGATATCCTCCAACCAGCCTGACTTTGTGAAGGGAAAAAGTATTTTTGAAAACATACTCCTCGCTTAGGAGGTTGTTACTGATATCAAGTTAAGGGGTAAGCCTGCCAATGTAGTGATTAAAATTTATATGTCTAAAGCATATGATAGGGTGTCTTGGAAGTGCTTGCTTCATGTGTTAAGGAAGATGGGATTTGCTGAACATTTTATCATCATGATATGGAATTCGTAGTCAAATAACGGGTACTCAATCTTGGTGAATAGCCAATCTTCAGGCTTCTTTCAGTCTACTAGAGGGGTGAAGCAAGGAGATCCATTATCTCCAGCATTATTCATGTTAGCAACAAAAGTGTTGTCTAGATCATTGAACAAGTTGTGTGATGACAAATCTTTTAGGGGTTTTGGAAGACACTAGAGGTTAGTGAGACAAGCCTTGGTGGAGACCTACAGCTTCAAGCAAGTTCACAGTCAGTAGTGCATGGCAACTAGTGAGACATAGGGAAAACCCTAATTAGGAATACAAGCATATATGGGTTAAAGGTCTGCCCTACAAAATTTGTTTCTTCCTTTGGAGGATATGGAGATTCAAATTGGCAATTGATGATATGTGGAGAAGGCTGGGGTACGTATATATGCGTAGGTGCTGGTGTTGTCAATCTCCACTAGAGGAATCATTTGATCATTTGTTCTTTACTGGACATACTGCTACTAAGGTGTGGAGGACATTTACGAATGCTCCAGGACTTAATTTCCAGCTGATACAGGTGCACCAAGTTATCAGGGCATGGTGGAATGCTACATGTTGTCCAAAACTTAAGCCACTATTTCAAGCCTTGCCAGCTATTATAACATCGGAGTTGTAGAAGATGAAAAACACAAATAGAAATGGTGGATCAGTATCGGTTAGTAGAGTGATTCTTGAGATCAACAAGACTTTATATTTCATAGCAAAAACAAGATACAATTGGCTTCCTGGCATTCCTTATCTTTGGGAAGACATTATTAAATTCTTTGAGGGATACAAGCCTGTTTTGGTGACTAGAAGGGTAACTTCGCAGCTGCCTCATAGTAGATGGTATAAGTACAATACTGATTGAGCTTCAAAGGGTAATCCAGGACCTAGTTTTATAGGATTCTGTGTGAGGGATGGTGAATGTGACTTGGTGTATGCACGAGAAATATTACTGGAGGATACAACAAATATTGTTATGGAGGCTAAGGCCATTGAAGAAGGCTTAGAATATTGTATGGCTCGTGATCTACACTCTCTCATATTGGAAACAGATTCGTTGGGGATGAAGCAAATTATTGAAGGGGAATGGGATCCACCATGGTGTATTATATTTGAAGTTAGGAGGATACAGGAGATGAAGGAGTACTTTAATGTGCTATTACAGCATGTTATAAGGGAAGGCAACAGTGTGGCAGACTTTTTAACTAACCTTGTGTTTTCTTTTGCAGGTACAATTGAGTTTACTCTTTCTCTGAACTGCCAAGTGAAGGGAGGAGACTACTCAACATCTACAAGGCTCAAATACCTAATCATAGAGTTAGGTTAGCAAAAAGAAAAGCACCAGATTGATGTTAGCTGCTACTGCAACACTGACTGCCTTTGTTATCTGCATTGTCACTAGTTTTTGTATGTTGTTGAGTTGCTTGCCAGTGGTATTAGCATGGTTACATGCTCAGTCTGGTGATGGCTCTATAATTTATGAAATAATTACAGCAAGCATGTGGCTTTCTATTGCATTTATGAGTTCACAAAGTCACATACAGGTATCTCTACTTCTTCACATCTGGAATCACTCAAGAGACACTCATGATAACTGGACATTCATTGCTGCTTATTGGTACAAGTCATGGAAACTTTTTAGATGTTTTAGACTGTTGTTGGTATTGGCTTTTGTTGTGTTTGTCAATTGTATATTGGCATTCACTTTTCCAGTGGTATAAGCATGTTTACATGCTCGTTCTGAAGAGGGAATGACATTGTATGGTCTTATGAGTAACAAAATGTTACAACCCAAATTCGCGTACCTTAGATCACGTCGTAAGTTAGTCGACGTAAATCCAAGAAGATATTATCTTTGAGATGATAAGAAGTTAATCCTATTGGTCTTAAACGATACAAGGGTGTATAAGAGTGGTTAACAAGTATTTGAAGTTAAACTAATCAAGGATGTTGTAACCCGTATTTTTGGGTAACACTAGAGGTGATTAATTGTCCCAAGAGGTAATGTTTTAATGTATTTAAATCATATAATATCCGTATCATAAGTCTTGAAGTCAAGCGAGTTATGAAACAAAAGTCGATAAAAGTTGTCGCAACTTACGTTTATAATTTTACTTAAACTTTAGGTCAAATGTTACTACATTTTTCTGCCAATGTACTTGGAATTAGGGAGTGATATACCTATAAAATTAAAGATCTATGAGTCTAGTTTCTAAAACATTAAACTGTTCGTCGATACGAACTCGGAATAGAGAGATATTCGCGTTTTCGCAAGAGTGCGCCAAGCAGCTCTCTATGGGGCCCACATAGGCGGTTTAAGACATATGGATATATATATGATACCTCAACCCCGTTTTAAGTCATTATTTTTCAGTATATTCAGACCTTATAACCCTAAAAACATTCTCTCAAGGTTCTCTCATGATCCAAGACCCAAACAAAGGGCAAACAACACAAATCAAATGTCGGGAATCCCGTGGCGCTAGTAAGTTTCTTGTTCTTCTTGTTGTTGCTGATTTTTGTGTTGTTCCAGCTCGTGTGGGAGGTTGTTTTAAGTGTTTTATGTTCTGTAAATACACCTTCAAGTTTTTAATATCAACCCTAGGTGATTTCA